CACAATCAAACATGTTTACAGCCTATTGCTAAAGCCACATTCAACCCGAATTTTTATCTCATCATCATGGATATTTTGCCCTGCAAAATATTTCTTTCAGTAAAGGAATAAATGAAGTCATTGGGTGCAAGATCTGGGTTGTACTGCAGATGGCCTAAAACTTCCCACTTGAAACTTTTCAGTCGTGATTTTGTTCGAAGGCATTATGTGAGAATGAATGTTGTCATTAAGCAAACAGACTACACTTGTTATCATGCTTTTACATTTGTTTTGAATTGCCCATTTAATGTGTCTCAAAGCATCGCAATATGCAACAACATTATGTTGTGCTGGGAGGCATGAAGTCAAACAGATGAATGCCCTGTCTGCCCCAGGAAACAGAAGTCATGACTTCTCTTTATAAGATATATATATATATACTGCAGTTTTTAATTTCTTGGCTTTTAGGGAATTTGCATGGTACCATTTCACTGATTGTTGCTTCGATTCTGGTATGTGATGATAAGCCCACATCTTGTCATCAATAACAATCTGATTAAGAAACTCATCACCTGCTTCTGCACAGTGTGTGAGGAAGTTAAGTGTTAAGCTTATCCTTTCCCTTTTGTGTTGTTCCATTAAAGTTCTCAGAACTCAGTGTGTGCACAGTTACACTTCATTAAGTGTTGTCATAGACTCTTCCAGTATGATTTTATGCAATTCTTTCAATGTGAGAGACCTTATTATTAAGACATCAGACACCACAGATGACCTACCAATTCTGCGTTCATCATAAAATTGGTCTTAACTTCAGAGAAAGCCTGACACCATTTCATTACATATTGTTGATTCATAGCTTTCCTACAGACGGAAACAATTTCTTTATGAATATCTGACGAATGCTCAATTTTTGCATGATGAAAATGTATGATGGAATGCACTTCAGATTTGTGGAATTCTGAACTGAAGCAATCATTTTTTATTCACGTGTGCTATAACCAGATTCAGCATAGAAATAATGAATGACCATGAGGGGAGGCAAAATGTTCAAGCTTACAAGACAATGCAACATGCAAATGTGCTCGCCAAAATGTTTCCTATTCTGCTGTCTGTGATGTATCTGCTTTTCAAAAATGTCTTGCATAATAAATTAAACATATTTGTTAATAACAGCAGTCGTACATGTGATTAAAAAATTATTTAAATTATTAAGATGAAGATTAACTTTTAAAAATAGTTTTACTGAAATGTACATTATGAACTAAAAGATAAATACAAGACTTATATAATGCTGAATGGCAAGACTAAAAACTGGCTTGGTCAGATGTTTAGAATTGCATTTAGCAGGACATATGGAAGATTACGATGCTATGCCTCATGCAATGGAAACTCTCACCAGATCACAAGTCATGATAGTGTAGTGCAGGGATGTCAAACTCATAGGTACACTTGGGCCAAACAAACAAGGTTTAACTTTAGGCGGGCCGCAAAAGAAAAAAAAAAAAAAATCAATATTTGTAGAAACGTAGATTTATTTCGAATAATACAATAATAAACATATATATATATTTATATAGAAAAGAACAAGAAAAATTTAATGTTTATGTCCTGATACTTGACATCTCTTCTCTGCTATTATCTTTCCTATTTCGGGAGAAATTTTGTTTGCAGTGATAACTTTCAACGCTGACCCAAGGTGAGGATCATTAATACGGTTTCTAATAGGAGACTTATTATCTTTCATGACTGAAAATAACTGCTCGCACCGATAAGTGCTACCAAACATGGAAATAATTTCATATGTGAATTTTCGAGTATTTTCAAACCTGGCTGGTAAATATTTGTAAAATTCAGGCACGCCCACTTCAATGAATTTTGCTTTCAAATTTGAGTTGCATTGAATCTCGATCACCTCCATTTGCATATGGCTGGGCACTGAGTCAATACTTATTGAGAAAATCGAAGAAAACAAAAAAAAATTGTCTTCAAGGGAACTAAAATCATTAAACCTCGTTTCAAATTCAGGTGTTAAATTTGCAATTTTTCTGCGTATTTTTGATATGAACAAGTATCATCTAAACTTGATTTGTTCATGCTGCATGTCGGGAAGTGCGTCAAATCTTCATTTTTAAGTTGTTTTTCCCAAAGAACTAGTTGACATTTGAATGCTTTAATTATGTCAAACATGTTCGTAATGATATGATCTTTTCCTTGTAACAATAAATTTAAATCGATTAAGTGTTTGGTTATATCAACCAAGAAAGATAAATCTTGTATCCATATTGGATCGTAAAACAAACTTACGTCTTGATTTTTCGTTTTTAAAAACTGACATATTTCTTCTTTCAAATCCCATAATTGTTTGAGAATCTTGGAGCAAGATAACCAACGTACCTCGGTATAGAAGGACAAACCCGAATATTCACTATCTAACTCACTTAAGAAAGCAGTGAATTGACGCTGATTTAAACGAGATCTTATAAAATTTATAACTTTTTTTATATATGACAAAACATTCTCCATATTTATTACTTTCATGCATAGAACTTCTTGATGTATAATTCAGTGCATATGATGAATGTTTGAACCGTGAATTTCACTAAGTTTTTTTCTTAGTAATGCTACGAAGCCCTTGTTTTTCACGGTCATTGATGGAGCGCCATCTGTAGCTACAGAATTTAATTTTGCCAAAGGTAGATTGTATTTCTGCAGAAGTCCAAAAACACAAGTAAATATATCTTCTCCTGTGGTAGTACCAGGCATCGGTATTAGTTCCAGTAATTCCTCAAAAATGTTAAAATTCTTGTCACAAGAACGAAGAAACACTGCTAATTGAGCTTTGCCACTAATGTCCGTGCTCTCGTCACAGGCAATGGAGAAACTTTCGAAACTAGATGATTTTGCTTTGATCTCACTTAAATTCGCGGCTAAATCAGTAACTCTTTCCGCAACTGTATTTCGAGACAATGAAATTGATTGTAAAGCCTTCACATTTCCAGGACAACAATTTCTCCAGCTTTCATTAGGCATTCCTTGATGAAATCACCGTCAGTAAAAGGCTTCGAATGTTTAGCTATCAACTCGGACAAGACGTAGCTTGCATGTACCGCCGCTTCACTTTCTTGCAATACTTTACTAAACATGGACTGTTGCTTTTTCACTCCTAACTTGAGCTCTTTCAACTTTTCTTCTCTCATTAATCCTTCGTAATTGTTATATTTCGATTTGTGTTGTTCGTAATGACGTTTAATTATATAAACTACATTAATAGTATTATTACATATCAAGCAGATTATTTTATCTTTTATTTCACAGCAAAAAATATTCTAATTCCCATTTTACTTGGAATATTCTATGTTTGTCAGCGATTTTTCGTTTAATTTTACTACCACTTGGTTTTGATATAGACATACTGAATACAAAGGGCTAGAATAAACACGGTTAACGTTAAAAAGTTAACAAAAATTTATTCTTTCCACAAGAGATAAATCAAAATGCTGAAATATTTCTTCAAAAATATTCTAACAATATCACAAAATGTCAAACGTTTAGCAAAAATCAATTCAAAACAGAGAAATTAATTCTATCTCACAGCAAAATCACTACAAATCAATCACAGCATTAAGTAAACAAACAGTTCGCTAGAACTACAGCTACTACGGAGATGAGTTGTTTGTTCTCGGCTTTTATAAGCTTTATAATTAATTTCTCGAATATACTGGAAACATCTATAAATATCTGGATTTTTGTGAATGGCAACAGCAATTACGAGATATTTATTTATTAGGTATTAAATGCACGCGCTGTTCTATTTTTAACCTTCCAACACAGCTGTCTTTTCAAAAATCATCTGCATTGCTAAGGCAACATGAAGCAAATCTAATTACAATTCTAAATAAAAAAAACTAGATAAATAAATAACTATGAAATCTGTAACAATATGAATTAAGTAATAATTAATAATAAAGCAAAGTGCATGCACATGCATGCGCCAATATATTGTACAAAACTATGATTGGGAAACTGAGACCATGAGTTCGGCCACATTCGGCTATCGGGGGATGTGTACAAGTTCTGAGTGCACGTGTCCCCCAAAAGCCGAAGGTAGCTGAACGCAAGCTACTCACACGCATTTGTAATTTAAGTAGTGTGTGTGTCAGCTCACTGTGAGTAATCTAACAACACTGAATAAATTATCGTTAATTACTTAGCAGTAAACATTTCATTTTTTTCTTCGTCGATATGTTATTTTATTATTATATATTATTATTTGCCGATATATTGGCCGGGCCGCAAAAATATTTGTTGTGGGCCGCGAGTTTGACATCCTTGGTGTAGTGGAATAGAATACTTTAAAATTTTTTATTGATTTTCTTAAAATGTGTTAAAGTCAGAATCAATACAAAATTAGCAAAAGCCTACTTTCAAGTATAAAAAGCATAATAAAATTCATTAAAAGGAAGGATTATGGAATGACCACATCAGTTCTGATTATAAATGAAAATAGTTTAAAATTCAGACTGTTAGAAAATGAGAGATGGTCTGATTATTTTATATACAGTACAAAGTCCATAATCCGGACTCATCGGGACTTCGGCGATTCCGGATGAGGGTTTTTTCCGAATTATAGGTCATCAATTTAAATCTGGTAACATGGCATGCAGAAATTATACTATTAAAAATATGAAACTGTAGTTTATGAAATAAAATGCAATTATGATCTAAAGGGTATCAAAATTTTTTTTTTAAAAAAATCTTAATATTTATTTGATTACTTCATTAAACATTTCTTTCAATGCATGCATGCGTAAAGCATACACGTGTAATGTATGTGCATTCTCTATGCGCATGCGTAAAGTTTGTGGCTTTGAGGTCCGAATTATAGATCATTCCAGATTACGGATTTTGTACTATATTTTTAATAATTAATACTGAAAAATTAAAAATATAAAATGCATCCTACACAAGAAAACTCTGTTATTAAGAAATACATTACAAAATACCTCAAGGGGAAAACTTACATTCAACTTCAACACCTACATGACGACGAGCACCTTTTCCGACGCCATTTTCAGCTATGCAGTAATAAGTACCCCTGTCACGTTTACTTATATTATGAATGGCTAAAATATTTCCTCGGAAAACAGCTCCACCAGTAGGCAGGATATCATTGTTCTCACGTCTCCAAGAGATTTCTGGCTCAGGACTTCCTCGTGCATAACAGTTCAAATAAACAGTGGCACCTGATGTGGTCTGCACTGATTGTGTACTATTGTCTAATATAACAGGAGGAACTAAAACAAACCAAAATATTTTACTCAACACTAAAATTTTACAACTATAATTCATATTTGCACTTTATGTGTGCATACATATCATTATAGATTGAGAAATAGATACTGAAAGTACAAATAAGTCTCTGCTGTTTTTTTATAAAAAACTGAGCATTTATTGTGAAAGAACAGTACATTTTGTTTTATTCAAACTCTTGTCCATTGCTAGCCACTACATTTTCCCATCTTTCTAGCAGCATAGGGATACTGCATTGGAAGGAAGCTTTACCTTTCCGGGCTATCCACAAATCAACCCAATTTTTGGTATCTTAGCGCTGCTCAGACAGGCCATGCATCATCAATTGAAACAAGTATTATTCAGAAGGAGCAATGTCTGATAAATACAGGAGGGGGGGGAATTCTCATTTGAATATTTCAGAATACGTTTTAAGCGGCACCACAACAAGTGAATGAGTGTTATCCTGCAGGAGAAAAATTTTGTCATGTCTGGAGTAGTAGTGGGTGCATTTTTCTTTGAGAGTTGGGCTCAGTCTCATCAACTGTGCTAGGTTGAGAGCTCCAGTCATGATTTCGGTTTGAGCAACTCATAATACATGAAATCAAACTGATCCTACCATATAAACAGTGTGATATTTTTCCCCCATGAATATTCAGCTTAGCCCTCAATGTTGAAGCATAGTTAGATGATCCCCATGGCCAAGTGGTCCATAGTTCTTTGGGTTATTGTAGTGGATCCATTTTTCCTCACCAGTGATTATACAATGTAAAAGGACTCTTTTTGTTTATATCTGGCAAGCAGCATTTCATGTGTAAAAAATAGACATTGAATGTTTCTCAGCTGCAGTTCATATACAACCCAATTTCCTTGTTTTTGAATCATTTCCAATGACTTTAAATGAAGTAAAATTGCTTGTTGAGTCACTCCTAATGTAACTGCAAATTCTACTTGCATTTTACATTGAAAAACTTTATTCAATAATACTTCCAATCCCACGTCTTCGTACACTTTTACCCTTCCACTTCTTTGTCTTTGATGTTAAATTCATAGTTCTTAAACTTTTGAATTCTCTTCAGACCTCTGAAACTTAAACTTGCAATTTTATGCAACTTCTGCCGATTCTTTGCTGCTTCAAAATCTTCAATATTCTTGCAATATAATTGAGCCAATTTTACTTTTCCCTAATATTAGTATTAATAATATATGTTGCCTACTGTTAGATATAATATTTTTCTCTCAAAAGTAATTTTAGCACACCTATCAATATAATTCAAAAAAAAATTTTTTGTGTGTGTGTGTGTGAGTATGGCAAAGCCTTGAGGGCTATCTGCCTAAGAGGAGGGATGCCTTCGTGGAGGACTTTCTAAGGAAAACTGGCTCGTATACACGTTACACATGGGGAAAACCACGAAAACGCCCATGCAGCCAGCCCATTCGCAGGATTCAAACCTCGGACCGAACTACCAGTGTTCAGCGACTTTACCGCTCGGCCGCTGGTGGGCCCAAAAAAAAAAAAAAAATTTTGAAAAGAGGTGAGTGAAATAAAATTTTGAAAATACGTTTTGAAAAGAAGTACTAAAATTAATTCTATTAGATATTATCTGAAATACAAACCAATATATATTTCATAAAACAAAACAAGTATTATTGCTTACATTCTGCTAAGGTGTTACAGCATGTGAAATAAACAAAAATATGCATTGATTTTTTAGTACAAATGCCACATAATTTCTTTTGTCGTCAGCAAATTTTCATTTGTTGAACATAAAATACAATCCAGTTATTGCTTTCTGCATGTACTTTTTCATTTATAGTTCAATACAGATGTAAAAAGGGTATCCTGGTATATTACTTCATTAGTAAAACATAAATTTTAAAAAATGTGATAGTTCTTACACATTATTAGGTATCTGAGGTTTTGTTATTTCAGAATGTATGGGGAAATTTATCTTAAATCAAGAATCTTTTCTTTCTGTTAATTTTTGCCACCTGTCACATAACTCGTCACCTTTCAATTACTTAGTTAACTTATTAACATGTCACTTAGTCACTTGTAACAAAATTTCCTCTTTTTTTCTGACTGGGAATAATGTTAATATTATCATCTAGACTGAGCTTCAGTAACTTCAATAAATTTAAACTAAAGATTTCTGTCATGGAGGAATGGTTTTATGGAAGACTTTCTAGAGGTTGATTTGATTTAATTCATCTGGTTACATTGTCTGATTATCTGCCTAACAGAAGGGATGTTTTTGTGGAGAACTTTCTAAGGCTAACTGCCTTGTATGCATGGTACATATGGAGAAAACCACAAAAATGTGCATGCGGCCAATCCATTTGCCTGGAATCGAACCCAGGTCGGAACTACTAGTTTTCAGCGATTTAATCACTCGGCTGCTGGTGGGCTGACTTTCTCGGGGAAACTAGCTTGTATTCTGTTGTATGTGCGAAACCTGACATGTTACCTTTTCTGTTTCATCCATGTTAATTATTTCAGAGCTAAGAACATCTATATAAAATTCTAAACCCAATTCATCTTCGCTACTATCTATATTTGGATTATAACTCTTCCTTTCGCTGTTATGATATGAAGCAGCATGATGACAAATACAAGGTGGGAAATGAAATGTCATATGTTTTATTTTGGTCATTACACATTTACTTATCATTGAAATATTACAATGAGTAATTGAATGTACTATTGAATGCACAGTTAGCTGTCTGAGTGTAGAAAGTGAGTTCAATGCAAAATGTTTTCAATGTGTCCACCATTTTGTTTTGCAACCTCTTTCTCTCAAGTGAACCTTGCATTTTTCACAAATCTTCCTAAATTGTATGGCTCCACTGCACAATAAGAGCCTTGCATTTTACACTTAATAGGCTTCTAAGCAAATACCTTATAATTTCAAAAAATCCCCTAAAACGAATTCACATGGATTAATATTTGGGCTATGCAGATAATAATCCAAGTAACAAACTTCCAATATTAATCCATATCATTCATGAAGGTAATATGATATTACACAAACATTAAACACCTCATACAGGAAATCAAGAACAACATTTGCAATGGGCAGGTGGGCTCAGTCTCTCATGTGCCACTGAGTATGCAAAGGAAAACTTGCTGCCATTCTCCCATAGGTACACGGTGGGAAAAAAAAAGTACAATTCTATATTTCTCGTTCTATTGGGCCAATTGACGAAATTCAAATTTCGTTTTTCATGTCTCAAAAGCGTGACTTAGTATTAGATTTATATATACCATTTTCTGAAATGGCATGCCAATTTTTTTCCTCTCTCGATTCTATGACTGAAATTATGACAAATTGCCAAGTTTTGTAAAAATCACACGAGTACTTTTTTTTAAATTAGCTCTAAAAGTTTTAGCTCCTCAATGTTAATCAAATTTGACATATATTTATCAATATCTCTTTTTTTATTAAAATTACTTGAATCCTTCTTCCAGAATTTGAAAATCGGGCTTAATCCAAATATAATTCACACATTTCTTATTACTTATTTTAAAAATGTGTATTTTTAAATATTTTTTGTAAATTTTTAGAAAAAATTTTTGTATTACAACCTATAACATTTTTAACATCATCATAAAGTAGATGTATATCTAAGCATATCTGCAAAAAAATTACGAGTTTTTTATTCAAAATTTCCTAAGAAATACATGAATTTACATTTTGGTGCATTTTGAAATTTGGCATATTTAATATTAGCAGTAATAACGAAAACGTGGTTTGCGCACTTTGTTAATATTATTTGGAAGAATGAACGAGACCTTTTCCTCTTGTGCATCAATGAAAAAAAAAGGAAAATAAGTAGGTTACTATAAATTAGGAATTCCACCAAGTAAATTATTCTTGGCGCAAACTCAAAAAAAAATGGGCCAAGATAAATTTTTAAATTTCTCCAAAAACATTTAATATCCAGGCATAATATGAGTTGTAGAATCGGAATATGGAAAAAAAAATTATATGTTATTTCAGAAAGAGGTCCGATTTTCTGTCAAAATACCTAGGTTAGAATAATGCTATATATAAATCTAATATGTATCCTAAGTCGCACTTTCGAGACATGAAAAAACACAATTTTGTAGCATTATATGTTGATTATTTTTCAGATTCAAAATATTGTATAATAAGTTACCAAAATGAACTTTATAATATGACAGCCAAAAATAAAATGTTTTATTTTAATGCTTTTTTTTAATATAATTTCAATATATTACCATTATTTTAGTGAAATTCATCAATGTTCTGATGTTTTAAAAAAAATCGTCGAAAAATTCTCAGATCGCTGAATTAAAAATTTTCTATAGAAACTTATCTTAAAATCGCCAAAATGTTGATAAGTTGCCAAATTTAGAACCATTTAATAAAAGAATTCATATCTCCAAAAGCGAAAAGTTGTTTAAGGGCTCTTTATTAGAAAAAAATGAATTTCGCTATGTTTATGTTTCACTTTGCTTAGAACCTCGAGTATCCCATCATTTATATTAGAAATAGAAACAAATTATAACCCATGAACCCATTCAAAAGATAACCATGTACATCAGTGAAACGCCAAAAATATTCTTCCAAAATGCTAATTCACACTCAAAATGGCAGTCATAAAACAGCAATTTCAGATGATTAAAATTAAGGACCTTCTGCTGATTTTGGCCAAAATTAAGGATTTTTAAGGATCAAAAATCGATTCCAAAAAATCTAAGGACTTTTAAGGACTCTTAAGGACTGTACAAACCCTGCTCAATCATTTGTTTGGTGGTCCCCAAACGCATTTGTGCCTAAATTTTCAGTGGCAAGCACGAGTTATGAATGATATTTACATGGTTATGAATGACATTTACATGTTTGAAGTTACAGAAGAATCTGTTTTAACAATTCAAAAAAAAAAAAAAAAAAAAAAAAAATCGTGAATGCAACTGCATTAAGTTGTTTTTATTCAAAAACAAAAAAGAGATGGGATATTATTTATACCAAACAAAAGATGTAAAATTCGACAAGATTCGATTATGGAAAACTCCACAAAAGTTAAAACAATGAGAAAGCAAAAAGCTTAATAACCTAGAGGTTAAACCTAAATGGAAGTACACATAATATCAATATGCTTATATAACTTATAAGCTTATATAATTTATAAGCAAAAATATTTTCAACTTCTATTGAGATATTTCACAGAATGAACTTAAGCCATACACAGAGTACTGATAAATTAAATTTATTCAAGAAAATTCTAATGGAATAAAAAATGGCTCCCAAGTGATTTGTCATCATTAACCACAAAAGTATATACATGTAAGCTAAATTAGAAAACTATTAAAGCAGTTAAAACTTACCTGAAAAACAAAATGCACTATTTCATAAATCTATACCATTTACTCTCATTCTATTTAAATTGTCATTAAAAGAAATAACAAATCAGGATGAAGTATTAATAACAAATGAATTTTGAGCAAATTATAATTTATACGAGGGTTGGAACTTTAATAGTGGCAACTATTTATTTACAAGGAATACAATATTTATTTACAGGGATTCATGTCACCATGTTTTACAGTCCTTCAATATAGTCGCCAGCATTGTTGAACAATGTGGAAGTCGCAGAATACCTGTAGCAGCGCCTGTTTTGTTGATAGTTTGAATGGACCAGTCTACTACCGCAAGAATCTCAACAGTTTGGAAGCGAGTGCCACGAAGTGGTTCCTTCATCTTAGGAATTAAGTCATAGTCACAAGGGCTTAGATCTGGGGAGTATGGTGGATGGTAAAGCACTTCCCAGCCCCATCGCTTGAACAAATCAGTCACAGCTTGCGCTGCATGCGGCCGAGCATTGTCATGCAAAATGAGAGGAGTGTTCTGCAGAAAGTGTCGCCGTTTTTTTCTCAAAGCTGGTCGGAGATTGTGCTCCAAAAATGAGCAGTAATACTGCGCAGTGACGGTCTGCTGTGGGGGAACGGTATGCGTTAGGATGACACCATCACAGTCGTACACGAGAATCACCATAACTTTCACATTGCTGGGGTTCTGACGAAATTTCGAACGTCGTGGTGACCCGTGATGACGCCATTCGTTTGATTGGCGTTTCAGTTCTGGCTGGTACGATCGGGCCCAAGTCTCATCCAGCGTAATGATACGGCGTAAAAAAGCATCTCCTTCGCGCTCATAGCGCTCCAGGTGGGTTCGGGCAGCATCGTATATCGTAGCCATTTCTGCATTTCCGTCAATTGATGTGGAACCCATCGTGAAGCAATTTTTCTCATGGACAGGCGTTCCTTCAGAATGTGCAGCACAGTCGTATGCGCTAATCCTGTTTGTCCGGCCAGCTGACGAATCGTTTGGCGGCGATCACTGTCCATTAGTGCGGCAACAGCTTGCACGTCTGCATCGCTGACACTCGGACGACCTGGCCGCAGCATGTCTGCCACGTTTTGGCGTCCTTCATTGAATGCTTTCACCCATCTTGCTACGGTTCTGTAAGGCAATGCAGATTCCCCGCAAGCCTCTTGAAGACACTACGACGTCTGGCACATTCAATTTTTATCCAACATCGTTGTTCTTGTTTTGAAAACATCCTGACAACACTTACTTTAGACTGCGAGCTAATACAAGATCCGTTCTTCTTCGCGTCTCTCCGCATACGCGTGACGTAGGCAGGACGAGTCTTTTTGCTGAGAGGTAAGGTAGGTATGTAGTTTACGTGTGGTATACGCGATATTCTTTGGTTTTGTTGCGTAGCGTTTTTTCAGCTGTGTTGCCACTATTAAAGTTCCAATCCTCGTACAATGCATTATACAATATACGTAATATATGTAACACTTACTCTTCACATGCAACCAAGCATCTTCTGCCAATTTACTGGTAGGTCCAATAAGTACTTGACATTGATATAATCCACTATCAACTTTCTGAAGTTTAGTTATCTGTCAGAAAGAAATCCATTTACTAAATTTAAAAAATGCTTTAAGTTATTTAATAAAATGAAATTAAAACCTTTCGTACTTAAGCTTAATAACAGAATTAGGTAGTTGTCTGTTATCGCAACCACGTTCGGAAATGTATGTGTTCATGCATGCATGTACATAAGTATGTACACTGCTCAAAAAAAAAAAAATGGGACAGTGCTATATCTCCCGTTCTACTGGGCCGATTGACAAAATTCAAACTGCGTTTTTCATGTCTCGAAAGCGCGACTTAGGATATATATTAGATTTATATATAGTACTATTCTAACATAGGTATTTGACACAAAATCGGACTTTTTTCTGAAATAAACATACCAATTTTTTTACATATTTCGATTTCTACGACTCAAATTATGCCCAGAACACCAAGGTTTTGTAAAAATCGTACGAATAGTTTTTAAAATATTAGCTCTCAAAATTTTAGCTCCTCATGTTAATTGAATTTGGCAAATATTTATTAATATCCTCTTTTTCTATTAAACTTTTTTGATTTTTTCTCTCTCACATTTCGAAATTTTGGTTCATTCCAAATAAAATTTACCCATTTTTTGCTTTTTTATTTTTTAAATTTCTATTTTTTAAATAATTTCTATAGATTTTTCGAAAAAAATTTTGAATTATAACCTATAAAATTTTTAACCATCATCTTAAAGTAGGTGTATTTTTAAGCATATCTGCAAAAAATTAGACTTTTTTATTCAAAATTTTCTAAGATATACACGAATTTACATAATTTCGCGTTTTGAAATTTGGCACCTTTTTTTTTGAGCGATAATAACGCCAAATGTGGTCTATGGATTTTGTTACACTGAATTGCCACAGCTATTTTTAACCTTAAACTTCAAGTAAAATTTTACGGAGAATTAATTATATGACATTTTTTCCCTCAATGATGCGTAATAAATATTTATTAATACTATGGAAAGGCTATTTTTTTTAATTATAGATGATATTATTCAAATTTTAACTTTTTTTTTTTTTTTTTTATTTCTCTCGTATCTTTTCTTTTTTTAAAAAATTTAAGAGTAAGTTTTCGTAAGAGTAAATTTTTACCCTTCGGCGTTTATCGTCAGCTACTTTACTTCGTTTTAAATCGAATTGTGTAAAACTGAGAATTTTCGTTTGATATTTATTTTGAATTTTATGACATTAACTGCATAATTTATTTCTCAAACAAACTGTTGCTTTTGAAGTGGCTGAAAGAGCGGCTGATACTATTATCCATATTTTTAAGCACAATATATTTTATAGAAATATAATATTTAGAATAATCATTTTTTATAAAAGTCAAATTATGATATAAACATACAACCTCTAGAGACTGAATTAATGAAGTTCAATGGTTATGTAGAAATGATCTGCAGCTACTTAATGGCTGGATAAGTCAGCAGATTCTGTGGACAAGTAAGAATAATTATATAAACGACACCAACATTCTGTCTGGATTCAATAAACAACGAGGATACGATGTTTACTAAATGAATTAAGAAGTTTTTAAAACATAAAAAATCAACTCATTTTTTTCTAAAATGTATCTTTGTGCGTAGCGTATTTTCATTAGAATCCTTAAAATTCTAATTTAGAATGTAATTGTCAAGAACTGAATCCTAATCATCAGTAATATAATAAGTAATTATTACGGTTATTAATAAATCCTTCTATAAAGTAATTGCAAATATTTCAAAAAACTTTCTGTCTGAACATTTTTCTATGCAAATATTTTTAATTTTATAATCAAGATTGCACACCATATTACTTATTTCCACTTCAATTCTTACCGTCAGTTCTAGTAGAATTTACAAATCAATTATATTTAATTAAGGATTGGATTGGATTATTTAATTATGGCAAAGCACACGAGGGCTATCTGCCTAAAGGGAGGGATGTCTTCGTGGAGGACTTTCTAAGGGAAACTGGCTCGGTATACACGTTACACATGGGGAAAACCACGAAACCGCCCATGCGGCCAGCCCGTTCGCGGGATTCAACAAACCTCGGACTGAACTACCAGTGTTCAGCGTCTTTACCGCTCGGCCGTTGGTTGGGCTATTTAATTAAGGAATGACCATCTAAGTTAAGAAACAGCGTACCGTAACAACATTTCAATTATTGGTTCCGTATCTTTCATGTTACTTCCGATTGGCTAGCTACATGATTTATAATGAGTATTCGGATTTTACTAGTAACTTCACTTGGAAATTGCGCTTAAACTAGGTTAGTTGGTTATTTGAACATAGAAAGAACATGGGAGCTATTTGATTAAGATGCTTTCATAGAGAATCTTTGTAAAGAGAAACTAAAAAACTACGAAAACCAACCATGCAGCCTGGGTTAGACTGCAGCAACAACAATTAGTATTTAACAATCTTTTCTTTTTCAAATGCTAGGCAACTGATGAGTCTCCAATTAAATCTCCAATTAATATTTTATTTGTAAATATTTAAATATTGTTGTATTCTTTGACGCAAAAAAGCAGAATTTAAGTTTTGCTAACTCGTTAGTAATTTACCAAGTACTTAGTGCAAATGAATATTCAATTTCTTTTGAAATAATTGTATTAACTTAATATTCTTGGAATATGAGCTAAAGAATGGAATGTTCTCGGAAGATTAAACAAGTGTTTAAATCCAGTGAATATTAGGTTTGTTCTTACAACCTCAGGATCAAAGCGGTTCCTGCAATTGCCCGAGTAGTTGACTTGTAAATATGGCTGTGAATTAAGCAGATGACGTTTAATCTTACCGTTATTCAGTCAGAAAAACGTATTCCAAATGTTTTGTATTGCATGACATGCATCTTTTCATTATTTAATAACCAGTCGGAGAACCGCTTGTGTTCGAAAATAAGTATGTATATTCAATCGTCCTGCATTGTTCTTCAAATTTTGTCTTCTTGTGATTTTTTTTCTTTCTCAAAAACTAAAGTTACCTCTCAAAGGAAAGTTTTTTGACATTGAAGAGACAAAATTAATATGACATCTACTTTTAGAGGCATGTCAAAAACAGATCTCTACAAACCTTCTCTTCCATTACATGTTGTGCAGTCGACAAAAAGTTTACATCAGCGTAAATTCTATAAATATTTTTATTACACTCGCTGACTTTTATTAACATACAGTGATACTAAATCTTTTACTTTAGCTTAAGTAATTCGGAATTTTTGACGGAATTGTTGTCGGAACTAGGACTTAGAAGATAAGTCAAATTTAAATATTTCGATAACCCAGTAAATTCAAGTTCGAAATTTCAATATTTTTATTTTCGGAGGGAGGGGAAATGTTTTCAGTTTTGGTCCTTATACTAAGTATATTTGCTTCGACTTTTTTATTTTTCCATAAAAGCGAAAATTTTACGCATGGTATACATATAAAATTTAATATATGCAGAGTGTTTATAATTAAGTTCCACATTGAAACGGTCATAAAAAGAAAACTACTAGATCAAATGTTATCAAACTTGGTAATCGTGTAAAGGAAGGTCACGAGAATTTATTTTCCGCGAAAAAAAGGAAGTTCGAAACCTCACCACCAGGGGGTTAAAAAGGCGCTGTATGCAATATTATTGAACGAAATATGGGTCGGAATCTAACTTAACATTTTGTTGCACGGGTTTAACATGTTGTATACCCTGTATATTAAGAAAACTTTGAAGTAAGCAAATTATCGTTTAAAGGCGTTAAATTCGATAAAAGTCAAGTGCGCCATCCGTGTAAAGTGAGAAATTTCGTCCGTGAAAACCACAAATTAGCGATTAGAAATGTGAGATCGCAAATCACTCTCACAAGTGCGTACAATCTGGAAACGTTTTTCTTACAGATCGCTAATTTGTAATTTTTTAAGCCTGAATTCGGCACTAAAACATGAAGATACTGATTCAAAACGCTTTTAATCGATTTGGGCCAAAGAAATCTCTCATGTTATCTATCTAGTTCCATTGCATTTCTCCTACTGCATTCGATTGCATAACAGTCATTCACACCGTTTACTGTTGAATGACAGCTAGTTTATAACTGAACCATTTTTTTTCTGAAGAGCAGTGACAGCTGGACCACTGCAATTGCAGCTCACTTAGAGCCAATATTAAAATGTTTCGTGATATATGAACTGCAGTAACGTGGCATTTTAGACACTACGATTTTTATGCAGGGCTGGGCACCACCTCAAGAGTGTCGCATAGTTACTTAGGCAACATTTCACGAATGAATGTCTTATAGGCCAACACTTCCCCTCTTCCCACCAGACCTCAACCTCTGTGACTTTTGTCTATGAGGTTATCTTAAAAGCACTGTTTATGGTGATAATCTAAACAATTTGGCAGAAATGAAAAATGTGATACACTGATAACATTCCTCCTGATATGCTATGTGTAACGTGTATACGAGCCAGTTTCCCTTAAAAAGTCCTCCACGAAGGCATCCCTCCCTAAGGCAGTAGCCCTCGAGTGCTTTGCCGTAATCTAATAAACCAAACCAAAACCAAACCTGATATGCTAAGAGCTGCTGTTGAGAATGCAGTAACATGATTAACTGCTTTCGGAAAATGCTGGACGCTACATTGAACATGCTTTGCAACACGTTTCGGAAAAATATTAAACACTTTTAAAACAGATGTTTTTTGTCTTATTTCATTTAACAATATTGTATACAGCGCCATTTTCCCCTGATGGTGATTTTTGAACTCTTTTTTTTCCGCCGAAAATAAATTCTCATAACCTCCTTTACACGATGCCCAAGTTTGATAAACATTTGGTCCGGTAGTTTTCCCTTTTATGACCATTTCAAAGTGGGACTTTAATAATAACCACCATGTAAAATAAGCTTAAAAGTCTGACAGTTTGGTTCAAGTCCCAACTTTAACAAAATATATAATATATAAATATAAATTTTTAATTAATTCTCTTAGAAAGCATGTTTTAAGAAGCTAAATTTTTTCTCTCCGCGTTATAGATTGTATAAAAAAA